AACTGCAGAGCAGCTTGCACACGCGGAACGATTGTACCTTCCAAAGGACTTTTTTGCTGACAGCCCGAAGAAGAAAACGGATGTTGTACACATCGATGGCGAAGAAGAAGCAGCAGAATCGCGCAAGACAAACATCATCAAGAACGTGTATGGACGAGAAAAAGCCGCATCATTCAACACGAGCGAAAAAAATGTTCAAGATTTTGCACAAACAGAGCATAAGAGAAGCTTTGCTGGATTTAGCGGTGTGAGTGGTTTTGGAGGCTTTGGTGCTTCTAGCGGCTTTGGCGGCTTTGGTTCGCTGGCCAAGCAGAGCGGCACCAGCTCTGGCTGGGGCAACAAGAGCGGCGGCGGTGACGCCGGGGGCCTGAGCTTTGGCAAGGTTCCGAGCCCACTATTCGGTAGCATCTGCGCGATGGGCAGAGTGGCCGCGTGCGATTTGTGATGCGCCGGGACCAGACGGGCCGCTTGGCGGCGAATCATTGGCTGCGTCATGACAGCGAGGTGAAGGGCTTGTCGAACAATGACAAGACGTTGTCGTGGAGTGCGTTTGATGATGTGGACGACGAGGAGGCGGAGAAGCGAATCCACTCGTTTTGCATCCGGTTTAAGACTGCGGAGATCCGGGAGGAGTTTGAGACTGCGCTGAAGGAGGCGTTGTCAAAGGCCCCACAGGATGCGGCTGTTGTGTCAGAGGGGTCTGACGCTGCCAAGGCAAGCGGCACCAGTGCGGGCGTGAGTGCGAGCGGTGCCAGTGCGGGTGCCAGTGCGGGTGGCTTTGGCAACGGTGGCAAGAGCCTGGCGGCCCTGAGTGCTGAGACGAAGCAGCAAGGGGGCACGTCTGGTTTTGCTGGGTTCAGTTTTGGCAGCGCACAGGGTGCTGCGTTTGGTGTGTCTGACCAGAAGAAGGCCGCTGCCGATGAGGCGGATGAAGCGGACGAGGGCGAGGACGAAGGCGCCGGTGCTGTGGATGACGGCGCGGGCGCGAGTGCTGCTTCGGGCGGTGACAGTCCAACCTCGAGCAAGGCGGTGCCGAGCGGTGTGAGTGGTTTTGGAGGCTTTGGTGCTTCTAGCGGCTTTGGCGGCTTTGGTTCGCTGGCCAAGCAGAGCGGCACCAGCTCTGGCTGGGGCAACAAGAGCGGCGGCGGTGACGCCGGGGGCCTGAGCTTTGGCAAGGTTCCGAGCCCACTATTCGGTAGCAAGGGCGGCGATGGCGCGTCGACTGCTGCTGACAGCAAGGATGGCGCGAGTGCTGCGGCGGAGGATCCCGAGGCGGAGATGCCGGGACTCGAGTTCAAGCCTGTTGTACAGCTTCCGGACGC